GGCTGGGTTTTTTTTGACCCCCGGGAAGGTTTTTTTTCAACCCCGGGCTCTTTTTCACCCCCGAACGTGATTTTGAGAGCATTTGGTTTTTATTCAACCCCGTCCGGAGGTAGAAAGAAACTGTACGGTTTTTTTTTACCTCCGAAATTGGTCCACGATCCACTGCGTGTCGCACTCTTAGGGATGCTTTCAGCAAAGCCCTGAATCGCAGTTGCCGTGCTCTGCAGGAGTTTCGGCTCTGGAGTTGCTTGAGATTCGTAGATGGGCTTGTCTTGCGGTTAGGGTTCTTGAAAGCTTAGTGCTCGGGTTCGTTTTAGAATGTAGGGCTTGCTTGGGGTTGCGGTTAGGGGTTGTTTAGGACTTGGGGTTCAAGCTTTAATTGGGGTTTAGGACTGCTTACGGGAATGTTCAGGGTCTGAATTTACTTTGGTTGGCATGAGAAGCTGGTTCTTGGAGCTCTGGAATTTGGGTTTGGTGTTGTTCGTCATCCAGAAACATGAAAACCTGTTACCATACACGCGAAAAGCAGCACTGGCAGAGCTGGGACCGAAGCCACGCACCTCAGCTAACCCTAAACCCAGAAGCACCCACAAACCCTGAAGCCTTGATATGCCTTCACTGTCTGACCTGGGACCACGCACTGGTTTTCTAACGTGGTCCAGGACCGGAAAAAACCCCATCCGATTCCTTGACTATCCCTCCAAGCCTGTCCGGCGCCCCTGATGCCAGAGGGTGCCGGAGGGCGGCATACGATGTGTTGCCAGCATACTGCTTTATGCTACTTTTGTAGCCATGGATCACTATGTGCCCGCAAACGTAGACAATCTGCCCAGTGAAAACTGGAAACGCATCCCTTCCTTTTCCTAGTTTGTTCGAAGAGGTGTGTCAACCATTAGAACCAGAACATATCGCAAGATTGCAGATGTTTCTTTCGTCACCTCTTTCGCGAGCATGCTTACAAACTTCGCCGAAATGGCAAATGCAGCCTCAACAAGCCATTGTCGCCAGGCATCTCTTCACACTGTTGACAGCTGGCATCGCCAAAAGTCCAAAAGTGCTGGATTTGCCCTGCGACCTGGGAGTTCTGAAGCCAGTTGTGAACTGGAGCTGCGTCGGCCGTCTGAGCTGCACAGGCTGAATTAATGACAGCATCCTAGCATGGGCCACGTTTCAGTTTCTCATGCTGGCTAATGTACAAACATACTGTCAACCTTTCGCAGCGCCTTTGCTAAATACAGTTGGCATAGTTGGCATAGTTCTGAGTCCTCAGCAAATCACTCGAACAGTTGCATACCGCTACGGCACAACTTGCACGCCAAACATGTCAATATATGTCTATGGCTCTGGACACGGCCTGATACGGGTTACATTTTCTCACCTGCAGCCAAGACTCTGCGGGCGCTTTCCTTTCCTGAATTCCTGCGACTCTCGCTGCCGAGCATGCATTTTGCTGGCCTTGGCTGAAGACAATGCTCATACACCTTTGCTCACGATAGTCCGCTTCTCTGAATCCTCCTGCAGTGTTCGCCGAATTTCTGCGGCAGTAAGGCGACTGCCTTCCAAGCTTGTATTCGATATTCACAAGTCCATCCTTCAGGGCACATGATCCACTCGAGGCTTTGGGAAAATGGCTATTGACAATTCGCTGACAAACTAACTGGAAACCTAGTTTAACCAAGCGGTTGCGAAGGTTGGGTCCCAACCTTTCTGGGAGGTTGAACATACTTGACATTTTCCATATTCAGTGACGGGGCTCTGAGCACGCAGTTGAAAATGACGGTGCCCACAACGACGCCGAGCAGCAAGTATTCCTGATCACACGAGGTCATGAGACCTCCTTCCGAACGCCAGGTGGTTTTCTACAAGTTTCCAAGCATTCCTGCTGCAAGTGCTTCGGCCAAACTGCTAGGGATCATCACGGCAGAGCTGCCAGCAAGCTGCAAATGGAAACCAGTGCCCGAGCGCTGCAGGAAAACACAGGAAAGGTATGAAGCGAAGAACAATTCCGGTCCAATCAAGAAACTTTATGAATGTAGTTGTGGAACCAACTGAGCAAGGCGGCCATGCCTTTTGTGCAGGCATAGAAAGCCAGTGCTCACTGTCAACACAGCATCATGAACAGCAGTAGGATGATGGCGTCTCGGGTTGAAGCGCAACGCGTCACGAAAAAAACTCGTTGCGTGTTTGATCGCTACAGCATCCTGGCACACCCACGCTGACTGATACACTTGTGCATCCAGATGCTAGCCCAAATCTGTTTCTTTCTAATCAAGCTGTGCTTGATGTCTCTTGGAGACGTGAAGCCTCCCGGGGTTCCGGAGCCAATCAGGGTTTCAAGGCTGATGTCATCTCGTCTGATTGTTCATGTTGTTTCTGTACAAGCCTCACAAAGGGAAAGATTTCTCACGCGCCTCCTTCTTTGCCGTGTTCCTGCAGGTTGGATGTGTCACTTGTTCTCCGAATCATCTGGGTCAAAGACCATCATACTTGGTCCGTGAAATCTCTTTCACTTAAAACTTCTGACCAATTAATGTTGAATGTAAGGTACAAGCACCCGTCGAACTCCCTTCAATACGAAGCTCAACACGTGACGCTACCTGGCACCCAGGCTCAAAACTGATCGATCTATGAAACGCTCTGAACCTAAAGTCTCTGGCTTGCAGTCTGAACCAGTTGTCAAGACTGACTGGACTGCGAATGATCCAAACACCTGTCTGTGTGTGTGTGTCACTGGCCGCATGCTCAAGAAATGAATGAAACGTGTGTGACAGATGAAGCTGTAACTTGCAGTCATTCATGTTACATGTGTTGTTGCAGCTGGTGGGGTCCTGCCTCCACCAGTTTTCAGGAAGTTCGCACTTTTAAATCTCTCATCTTGCAAGATCGGCTCAAATCTGATAAACGAAAACGGCGGACCTCAAATTATCATTTGCGGCACTTGCCATCCACACACGCAGGCTAGATTCGCCACACATACTGCGCAATCCGTTTTTGGACCAAAGCAAGAGTGAATACTGAATACTGTTCCCAATGCTCACACCGGTGATACCCATCCTTCTAATGATACCATTCCTGATCAGGCGTGTAGGACTTGTGACACGCTTACGTACGCATCCTTCTAGCTGGCAGCCACGGATACACAAGCAAGGATTGTTGTGCTGCCATTTTCTTTTACTTGTCGTCTTCTCTGATCTTCACGCATCTCCAGTTCGGCTGGGATTGCTGTGATGATGTTGAGCAGCTCCTCATTCGAGAATCAGGCGTAGATGCTGAAGTCGTTCATCATGGTCAAAGAATGTTACAAACGTTTGGTTATAAAAAGTGAAACCACAGATCTTCGTGATCTGTGGAAATGTCACTCACCATCGAACTGATGAATGAGCATGCGTCCTATGCAAGCGATCACTCTCTTGGCATGCCCTCAGGATCACATGCCTCAGCAACTCTGCAGGTATGTTTACATCCCTGTGCCACCTGGTCTTCGGTGGCCAGGACAGGTGGTCACAGGTTCCTGGGCCCCCTGCTTCGCTAAATCAACTGATGGAAAGGCACGCGCATAATTCTGAACAACATGTTGCTGTCTCTCTTTGAAAAATCGCGCGCTTGCGTGCGCGCACACACACGCACCCACGCACGCGCACGCGCGCGCGCGCGCGCGCGTCCACCCTTGAGAGTTACCTTGGCTGCTGCTTTCTACCGTTTCTAAGATCCGGCTTGGTCACCGTTCTTGCGCGGACTAAAAACAACACGCGGTTCGTTCAGTGCTGTGTCGGGCACAGCTCAGCAAGTATTGACAAGTTTTGAACTGCTTGCGGCACTGGCTTGCAAGGCCCCGGCGCGATCTACCACCCAGTGCCGAACGCTGCAAATACCCTCAACGCATCTGAAGCCAACCTTGCAAAACAACAGCTGGGCTGCAAAGCCGCCCGACTTCCCGCTTGTCGTCACGCTGAGGCACCAACATGGTTCGCCCCGAACAGCGCTTCCTCTTGAGTTTGTCTAGGCATCCAGAAAGACGCATTGAAAGCAAGTAGGCTGCTCCTCCCAGTCGTAACCAGAAAATGCTTGGGGCCAGGGTTGATGTAAGCTATCCAGGTATGCAGTCCCTTGACCTCAGCCAACCATGCAGCAGGCGAATGGCACCACTTGACACAATCTTTGTTGATGCTGACTACCCGGCCAGATGCCTAAGAATGTCCAAGATCCCAAATTCTAGCCTACCGACAGCCTAAAAGAATTCACTTGCAGCTTGAATACACGCAAGCTCGCTGTGCAACATCACGGAAATACATGAGCTGCACGCTACAGCTATATAGCGGAATACGAACCAGCACCGGCCACCTGAGGGGCCAGCACAGCAAATTCACCTGCTGTAATGAGGGTCTGCAAGGGACGCCTGAAGCAAAGCTTCAACAAAAATGCCCAAAACTGTGACCAGCCATCAGCAAGGATCCGGATTGCCTTGAAGTCCGGTGCCTTCAACCTCCACCTGGCAGATTGAAGAGATCAGGCGGTGGCAGTCAGCCAAGCCGGCGGTGCCCTACCTTGCAATCTTGTCCAACCTTTTCCATGTCGTGGAAGCTCAAGGGGAAATGTGCTGGGGTCGTCTGGTTGTTGAGGATTGCCATTGTGAGCCACGCAAACCGCCGGTAGCAGGACCACACCTGCCGGGAGCATCCGGGAGCGGCTTGGCTCGATTCTGGAAGAACCGCTTGGCATCTGGGAAGCTGGCGTACGAGCGGAAAAGCGCATAGCCCAGGATGAAGAACAAAGTGAAGATGTTGCAAACATGGAAGACGTACTTTGCCTCAGCCATCAGAAACATGTCCAGACGCCATGCACCTAAAGATGATCCTGCCTTTTCAATCAAGCGTGCTTTTGCACATGTCTGCTAAAAAAATCACTCGCAATCCTGCATTGCTTCCACTGAAGCAGCAGGCACCATAATTAAGCCTGGTGCGTTTGAACGCATTCGACGAATGTCCGCCAAGTCCTCCTCAAAGGGCTCATCGATTGCATGACCTCCAGCTTCTATGCGTGCTTTGTGTGCTGTACCATGACCGATGCTGTCAAAACTGCCTACTTCTGATGCCACAGCAAAACGATATCTTAGCCAAATCAACTCTGCTTTGTAACTGTTCAGCTAGAACCTAGAGGCTGCCGAAAGTGAAAGATTTCAATAAGCGCCTGCTGCATCAAGCAGGTAGTACGTGTGCTTGTACTCCGCGACGCTGTGAGGAATGGACCTGCGCTACTTGTACCATTTGTACCATTGTACCAGAGCCGCTGGATGCGCAACTGGCGTAAGAAGAGGAGCAACCGGTCGGTCTTTCTGTCTGAAGCTGAAGTATGAAAGGCATGCAAGGAGATGCAAGGAGCACAATAAGAGTTCCTGTCAGAAGGACAAGGGCATGCAGCCTGCACGCCTGGTCATGTCGCGGGTCGTCGTTCGGATGGTGTCCACCGATCGAACATTGTCCAAGTCGCGAACCTGCACCACGAAGCACATACACATGCCGCAAGATCTTCAGTGCCTCGAAACCTTCAGTGGTGAGACGGACGTGACTTTCTACATGACGATGTGAATGTGTGTTGGCATCATCAAGTTCGTGAGCTTCAAATTCCGCATGGGCAGCTGGCACCAACAACCTCACTTGAGAGCCACGGGCTGGGACGAAAGCTCAATGTGGCGAGACAGGACGTGAAGAGACAGACCATATACAACCAGAAGAGCGCGCAGCCCTGCCCTCACTGCCCATTAAAGGAACTGCAACCCTCCAAGACCCCCCCAAGATCACCCAAAGATCCCCCAAGAGCCCCCCAAATCCCCCCAAGATCACCCCAACATAACCCCCAAGAATCTAGGCCGAAAAGGCCTCCCGTGGCACAAAATTGGCAACCCCCCCCGCGACTAGTCCCTACCACAACCAGATGGTCCGTACTGCAACCAGACGGTCC